CTCATTGCCCGTCCGCTGTCCCTGCTGGCATATGTGTGGCCTGCAGTATCGCGAGCAGTTCTACAAGGAGATCCCCGCCGCGGTGGCCTCCGGCGTGATCAAGTACAGTGAGGACCGCTCGCGCGGGCTCGAGAGCGTCGGCGAGGCGATTATCGCGGTGCAGAAGGGCACGAACAACGGGAAGAAGGTCATCGTCGTCGCGGACGCGTGATGCACGCGGTGGGGTCTGGTGTGTGCGGCCTACGAAGTCAGATAGCGCGTCGTGCGCGGTGTGTAATATTACAAGGAGTGCCACCCGAGAATATTGTTTCACTCTTGATCTTCAAAGCTGTACGGTGTTACGCCGACTACCTGAGTCAATCACTCACCTAGACTCATATATCTGATTACGGTCGCCCCCAAACGATGACCTCGTCTCGCTGAGTTCCGAGAGACAAGATGAGCTGTGAACGCGATGTAGACACGCATACGCACGGTCCCAACGTCTGGCGACATGTAACATGTTGTCAGATCCCGGTTAACGCCATGATCAAGGACATCACATCAAGCCGAACGAACCCTGAGTCGTCAACCACTGTGAAAAGCAAGATCACGGTGGAGCCTGTAGTAATTTTACTAGGGTGAGGAGGATATTGGTACTGGAGATGGGTAGGGTGTACTGGTCCGCAATAGACATCTCCTCGAGCGTCGTCTGTGCGGAGATATCGCCAACACCGTGCCAACGCAGCGACTTTGCTGGAGATTAAGGCAAAAACTCGCTATCCTGAAATATGGAATTGAATCATTCACAATCGATGGCACCGTCGCGGAGCAGGTCGTCTTCAGCATCGCCGGGTGCAGCGATTGAGCCCCCGAACCCTGTCTGGAATGAGAAGCGGATGTCGGACACGGGTTGCGACTCCATGTCGCCCTCACCCTCAGCAATCTCTCGGAGATTGAGGAAGAATCGCGTGAGGAGGATGGTCGTGAAGCTGTGCGCACGAAGTCAGTTCACCTGTCGTGTGGGACGCAGAAGGGCGGGCTTACAGAACGGGAAATGCCTCCATTGATTGGAGGTACGAGTTCTGTTGGACGGCCGTGAGAGTCAAATAGAGAACGGGGAAGAGCTGTGCGGAGTGCCCGTACCCCGGAGTAGTCGGAGACGACGTGCATGATGTCGATCAGACAAAGTGTCCTGATTAGTAGCACACAATGTGAGCCTTCTGCCGAGGCTCGCGCATGCATAGCGAAGTTACCCAAAGTATATGGTTCCTGTTCCGAGCTACATCAGTAACTTGTCTTTGGATGTGCTGTTCAGGTACATTGCTCACCATCTCGAAGCAGCAGTGCGGTCACGCTGGCTTGCTCTCCGACTGCGTCAGCGAGACGCTTTACCTGGTACGTGCATCGCCAAGTGACGAGCAGCACCAGGAAGTGCCCCGGAATCGCAGTTGCAATTGAGGTGATGGATACTGTTCAATGGCGATAGATCTGCATTTCATCAGATGAGGCAAGGATGGACTTACGCCTGGATGAAGTGAGCCGTCGATGTCAGCGGCGATAGATTGCGTGACTGCGGTGCGGACCACTCACTTGTTGACAGCGGCAGGATTGTGCACAGCAACGATGCACACAAGTTGCGCGGTAAATGTGACGGTTGCTGTGGCCGCTATGTACTAACGCGAAGGCGAGATCTGATCAGGCCAAAAACAGTTGGGTAGGCATGCTGTAGACAGCGTACAATGTTCGCCCCAAATTCAACCAGGAGGAGTACAGCGACAACTGCAGGCATCTTCCAGTCCCGACCGTTCAGGGCATAGACTCGTAAAGAGGCGACTGCTGCAGCGGCGGGGAGGCGATATTACATGAGACACGAACGTTCATACGTGTCAAAACTTGAAACACACCTGCTACTACGAGATTGAAGAACATGACCGAAACGCCGTTGAACTGATCCAAGGCAAAGCCTCTGATAAAGGAGTCGAACATGAGGATGAGGGGCAGAGCTCTACGATACTATTCAATACCTCTGCAAAATGTAGGAGCACTCAGCACTCAGACATGCAAATGGAGATACCACGCACTAAGCAGTCATTCGTGAACTGTACCCCAAGCCAGGAGCCGTAGTAGCAGAACGTCGCCACTTGCAACACAAAAAATAGCAATGACGGAACCGACAACTTGCGCTTCCACATGAACTCGATCTGCCTGTCCAAGGTGATGCAGAAGTCGAATATAAAGCAGCCTATGATGCAGCGCATGTTTCAGTGCCCCCCCAGCAACATCTAGCTCGTGTGGAGACGTACATAGTGCAGCGACGTAGCAGCAGTTCTGAGTGAACCTAGAAGATGAGAGGATCAGTGCGAGGCGCCATCAGCGAGCACTAGCTAATGACGATAACTTACTGAGCGTTGACAATGGCTTGTACATCGCTCATGTCGACCCCGTCGAGCACTTCCTGTACGAGTTTACCTCGTTTGCTGTTCAGAGTCTCATATAGGTCATACCTCTGCGCGTTATCGCAGGCGCCGATCAGCACGGTCGCACGCGGGCTTTTCGAACGATGTCATCATCCGCAGCCTATACTGCTGTCCGCTTCGGCCTTCCCTGATTGACCGCAAATGAATCTAAACTGCGTGCAAGCAACGCATTCCCATGATGTTCGAAGCTTCGAGGCTACCGGCCTGAGGATTCCACGACAGGCGTGGATCGATATCTTGCCGTCAGACCCTGGTTCGTGCATGAGCATCATGCGATCCGCTTCATGTTGAATGGAAGAAGCTTACACTATAATCCAGATCATCTCCGAGTGAGCCTTTGTGATAGATCGGGTGGCCGCAGTACAGGGAAAGTGAACTGCGGAGTAGCCCACCAGTAACGCACTAGCTCCCTGGAAGCGATAAGTACGACCGTATAATTGCAGGATGCTATAAGGCGAAGGGATAGCTGACGTCACCTCGTAGAGGTCTGCTTGTTGTAGAATCGCAGCGCGGGACGACGACGGTGCGGCTAGAAGGAGGTAAGCGTGGTGTTAACACAGAGTCGGAGGTTGACACATTATCTTCCATCTGCCAGCTCCGCGTGGCACTGAATACCCAACGAAGATGAAGCATCAACATCGATCGCACCTATTCATTGACCAATCATCAATGTAGTTTGTACTTATGTGAGCACCCGACGGAGCCTCGTGATAACATGACGGATGGCTGGGACGTGAACGTCTGTAACAGACAGTGCCATGTTAGGTCTCAGGCTTGTGAGTGCATCAACGAATGAACTACATGCCCGAGTGTTTCGTAAGTGCGAGCGTCGGCCCTTAATGAACGACGACCATACCTGCGTGACCGAACCCTCGAGCATCCCCTCCTTGCCCCGGGAACTCAGGAACGTTTTACGTATGGAACCCATTCGCGGCCACCATCCGATCCTCCAAAGACATTCTCGAGGTCTGCGAGTGTTAGGAAGGCGTGGTCCTCCCAAGCGAACCCAGGGAAGACGACCTCAGTGATGAGACAGCCAACACGGTCACGCTGAGCAGAGTCTGTTGCGGTGGCCAGGTCATCTGCGAGGAGGCGTGACATCTTCCAAACACCGGAAGGGACGAGCAGTTGGAGGGTTTCACCCGCTCGGATATTTGGGCCGATAATCTTAAGTCCGAGGATGAGGCGAAAACGATGAGTGTCAGTCACAATAGGCGGTAAGCAAGATAAAACTACTCCCGACGAACCTTCTTCTCGACTTTAGGAGGATTACCGGGCGTCGATGACGGCGTGATCAGAACGTATTCTGCGCGTCCCTGATGTAGAACATGCATCGTCTGCGTGCATGCAATATTGAGTAGCCGCGAGTATGTAGGCCAATGCGAGTACCTACTGCTGATTTGTTCACATGGAAGACTCCATTCTTCTCATCTGGCGTCAAGAGATAGTAGATGGATGTGGCGAGAGAACGTGGGGCTCCACCTTGAATTGTACGATCACATCAACGTGCATGGAAGCGCATTGCGGTTCCCATAGTAGAAAACAGAACAGGTGACACTTACCGACGAATGGAGAAGGTACGGTGTCAGACTGACGGTCCGTCTCGACGAAGTAGCCTGACGAGTTCTGAGTATATGTGATCGCGCAGTTGAACAGGCTGGGCATCGAGTGACGTACCACCTTCGGGATGCCTCTGGAGGTGTAGCTCGGGGATGAGCGTCGAGTTGGAGATAGGATATGCTGGGGGACTCATTGCAGAGGTCTGTGTGGCGTACCGGGTAAGTGTCAACTACGACGCTAACAGGTTCAGAGGATACGTTGAATAGGCGCTGTCAGATCATTACGACTCGGAGTCACCATCGGAGGCGCCGAACACGCAGCACACTGCACGCAAATCCGAACTCTTTGTATCCATGGTCGCTGTTGCTAAGACAAAGGCTAAGTACCCAATATGAATAGCTCACAAGTTCACAAGATGGCGTGTTGAGAGTCGGAAGTTCTGTGGCCCAAATCATTACCCAATTGTAAAGGCATATCTATTGGATAAGTTATGCTCGCTCGACCTCGCCGAGATAGCTCAGTTGGGAGAGCAGCAGACTGAAGGAAGGCAAGCCGGGTTCTGAAGGCCGAGCGTTCAATCCGCTCTCTTGGCAATATTTTGCTGCTAGCTGCTCTCATTTCTCATCCGAGAACTCGTAGGAGGAGGAGGAGGAGGAGGGGGGATCCATTTAGTCACGCACGCGCGCGTACCATGCGGTGCGTGACAGCGCTCACTAGATACACGTAGAGTTTGATACATGTCGAGTGTGCAGGAGGTCCTAGAAAAGTGTTTGCTGTGCGATGAGAGAAACACTAAACGGTCTATTGATTCAATAAGATGCATGACGTGAGTCTAGAAACATAGAAGTGCGCGCGGCCAGCCTTCCAAGTACTCTACAGCTCCAGCTTGATGCGGTGGTACATCTCGGCACCCTTACGCATCTCGTCCGCACTCTCTGGCGGCGCCAGCTTGCCATCAAGCGAAAACGCCTTGACGCCTTTGTACTCGAACGGCGGGACTGGGCCGGGAACGCAGTTCGCGTCCTTGACGCCGTTGTCGTCGTAGCCCCACGGCTCGCCCGGGGTCTTAGGCGGCGAGAGCAGAATCGCGTTCGAACTCTCCATCGAGACGTCAAAGTCGAAGTAGTTTAGTGGCGTGATGAAGAAGCTGTGCGAACCGCTGTCAGCACCCCACAACCACGGACAAAGAACACATAGTGCGCGCACCTGGACGCGGCGAGGTTTGTGCGCGTGTTCGGCGAGTCCTCCGCCTGAGGGAGGTGGTGTGTGCCGACGTTGACCCACGCGACGAGGTCCTCCTGCGTGATGTTCTCGCCGTCGAAGAAGTTGTGGAAGTTGACGGCAGGCGCGCCGGGCAGGTTCTGGTTCCACATGCTGCTGCTCGTCGGCTCCGTCTCCTTGCGCTTGCTCACCGCGAGGTTGTACCGCGCCCAGTTCGCGTTCTCGAGCAGGCGCTTCGAGCCGACGACCGTCTGTCATCCGTTGCAGTGTCAGCAGCCCTATCCAACGCGTACAGGATATGACCTACATTGTGCACAGGATTGTATCCCGGGTGGATCGCGTAACCGCGGGGTGTGCCCCACCTATTCAGCGCGTCCCTGTTGACGAGCGAATAGCCGCCCTGGAAGTTGTAGGGGAACTTGAGAAGCGCATCGTTCTCGCTTTCAATGTATGTCCGTGTGATCTTCTGCTGTAGAACATCACTGCCCCAATCGTCCTCGAACCACGGCTGCTCAATCTTCTCCTGTTGAGTGTGGGTGAACAGCAGCGAGTTCTTTTCCCCTGCGACGTCGAGGTCCACCTTGTAGTTGATCACATGGTCGTGAAGCGAACCCACTTCATGTGCTCAGCTTAGCTGTGAACGAGTTCATCCCTTAGACATGGTCGACGTACTGGTGGTATCGCGGATTGCAGTCCCGTAGCCCTGTTGAGAAGGCTCCCAGAAGCCACCTTGTAGGTAGCCCGAGGCAGAGAGGCGGACCTCGATGGTCCCATCAATGTGGAAGATGTAGTCGAACACTACCCGTGCCCCATGAGACCAGGCACGCTGCAGCATAAAACGACTGACTCACAATAATCGTAGTTGCCGACCGTTGAGATGGAGCGCACGACCAGGTTGTACCCACGCACGGCCCCGAACTCGGCGTGGTCGTAGCCCGTGTGGCGCGTGATCGGACGCGCTGAGTCATGCTCGAAAATGCAGATCGCCCTCTCGCGGGTAATTGACCCTGCGAAGGTGTTCGTCGTTGCAGGCAGGAAGACGGCCTCGTGCGGGCAGTCGTACCCGGGGAGCATGTCACGCACGGAACCTCCCTGCGCATATTGAATAAGTCACGGAACTGAACAACCGCTGCGAACGAGACTCACCATGCCAAAGAACCGATCGAGCCATGCGGTCGTGCTCTGCATCGGGTCATTACCGGCGTATTGCGCGATCGCCTCCTGAGGCGCGAGCTAAGTCCTTCGCTGTCAGTGCTATGCGAGTGAAACTACGAACCAGGGAATCACCTCATAGATGAGGCGCTCGCCGCGGAACTTGATGTCCCAGAGACTCATGCCCATGTCTCGGTCAAAGCCGAGGTACATCCCCCATCCCATCCAGCTCACGTACTGGGTAGCCCTGTTCGCATGGACGCGTCAATACGGCGCGCGATGACTGGGTTGTGACGGTTGAACGCACCTGTCGACACGGAAGCGCAAGCCGGCGAACGAGACTGACCGCGGGCCAGGGAGGTAATCCAGATCGCGGCGGGGACCCTCAGGCCGCTTCCGCGTTGTCCAGTCATAGTCGTGATTGTCCGGGCGCGCAGGGTGGCGCTTGAGCGTCCCGTTGCGGAACGCGCCCATGAAGTCGTCTACGGAGTCGAATACCTGGTGGTTGTATACAATCTATGGTGCGCCGTACGTCAATGCAAGGTCTAGAGGGCACGGAAAAGGACGCACCTTGAGGAGCTTCCACTCCCTGGAGTCCGTGCCGGACATGTCAACGTAGAGAAAGAAACCGACAGGGTGCAGGTACGGCCCGGGCACATTCCGTCGCCAATTGATCCAGCCTCGACGGAAGGTCCCGTCAAAGCTCAGCGGGCCAGTCGCACCACCAACAAGCGTGTCATTGGGGAGGCCGAGAGCGACGCCACCAAATAGTTCCTGCATGGGCTCTGAGTTAAGAACACAACAAACAAGCCTACGTATGCACCTGCGTCGCTTCCGCCATCTTGGGCATGACGTCAATCAGGATCGGGAGTAGCTCACCGGGCGTGGTATACCCCCGTGCGTTGTACGGAATCTCCTCGAGGTGGTAGACATCCTTCAATGCGCGAATGCCCGTGCTCTCGCCAGCCGGGAGCGGCCCGACCAAGTAGTCCTGCACCTTCGGGCTTGCGGCCGCACCGTGGTGAATTGTGACCCGCGCGAACCGGTCCGGGGGCGCAGTGCCCTTTGGGTCCGCGAGGTACGCGAGCGCGTCCGCCTTCGCGGGACGCCATGCGCCGATGTGGTAGATGTAGTTGTCTGAGATCGACGCGGCCGTTCCGGGGGTGAGGTTCAGCGCACGCTCTGGCGTGTTCAGCCATTCAGCGATCGTGGTCGTCTCCGGGACGGTGAGCGAAGCCCAGGGGTTGATCGGTGCGGGAGGCGAGGCGGGAGGAGGGCCGTTCGCAGCGCACTGCTTTAGTGGCTCTTCAGTGTCCAAAAGTGTGCTCGAAGGTGATGTAGAGGAGGAGGCAAGCGTGTCGGGGTCAGGTCCATAGTAGGGTGGGAAGGCATACAAAAGGGAGAGCGCAGCCGCACAGACGACGAAGCACGCGGAGAGTACAATCCGACGTGAACGTCTCCGCGGTACAGAGCCCTGGACGTGCTCGAAAGCCGGTTCATTGGTCTTGAGAGGCTGGTATCCTGCGCTGGTCATCGTTACAAGTGCAGCAGGCACGAGCGGGGAAGGCAAACGACCGCGCGAATTATGCGTGTTACTTGTATCGCTGCGAAGAAGCCGAGACTGTGCGATCGACGCCCCTCCATGATACCAAATTATCGGACTTGGCCTAAGCTATCTGTGGGTTTACATGGCTTGGGCATGACTCGAGGGAATCAGAAGCCGCAGCGGAGTCCTCTCACTCCTGAATTAACCTTCCGGCGCCTAGATATACAAACATCGCTCTTACTGACCTGTGTTTACCGTACACCGACGCCTAGTCCCTGAATCCGATTGAAGATTATACATAATCGGATTAGTAAAAAGCGAGGTAAATTGTGTTTGGAAGTGGGGCGTAGTGACGGCACCCGACAAGGGAAGCCACACAACGTATCGGCCAGCATGGTGGTATCTGTGGTGAGAGCGGCTCAGTCGGCAGGCTATCTTTTAAAGGTTCTACGTACCTGGAATATATCCCGGCTGAGATATCATATTACTTTGGATGAACCACACGGTGACTATTGGTCAGCCTCGCGCGAGGCCGACCGTTATCAAGTGTCGCTGTGACGCTCGCGCTTTTCCATCCTTAGCGTTGCGAGACCCATGAAACAACCATGATCGTTCGCGTACGAAGGGAGAAAAATTGCGAGTAGGATGCAAGTGGCTGGTAGTCACTTCGCGTGAGTGCGGTTGGAAGTAAGTATGGGAGGAGGAGGAGTGACAGCGGTGATTGAGCCGGATGGCGCGGGCCGGGAGCTCGGAGCTCGGGCACGACCGGCGGTAGCACAGATCTCCTCGAGGCCTCCTCCTCCTCCTCCTCCCCCTCCCAGGCTGCGTCAGGGATTCAGACTCGGACCACACCGGTATCTGATACAAAAAGGGCTTGCTTCTGGATTCTCTATATTTTGTCCTTGGCGATTCAATCGCTTTCGTGCTCGAGAAGCTCTCAAGACGAGCGAAGGGTGCGTACTACGTAGAACAATTCGAATAGATCATAACTGACGTTCCTCCAGATGAGTCGCAGATAGGCTCATAGGTAACCGCAACCACGCGTATTCCATCGAAACAAGAACGGTGTTCATATCACCAGCACAACAATGTCAACTCGAAACATATTGAGATTCCTCCATCTGGCGTGCAGACCTGCAAAGTCAGTGACCTTTCACTGTGAAACACAGATGAAACGCGGTGACCGCAGTATGTTCAGGTAACTCTCATCTCGTCTCATCTCACTCTCATAACTCCTCATCACTATGTTGTGTTGGACAAGAGTGCGTCAACCATCCGCTCATCATGACTTCGAACGGCCGGCGTGTTTCTGTGCGGCGGACGAGGGCGTTTCATGTTCGCTTCATCGTGGTATGAATACACTAAGCATGATAGACTCATCAACAGACTTAGTCGGACGTCCACCGATGCTCTGCACCTCTCTGAGACGTGCTGACGTCCGGGATGAAACGTTGCACGACATAGCCAGTGGAATACCGCACTCTATCGTCATATGTAAGTGCTGTGCCAAGCCGCATTCATCAATGAACAATCAGGTGGTGACAGTGTTGACAGTTCGTCAAAGGCGTATCATCTCGCTATAAGGCAACTGCCATGTAGCGATGCCCGACGAGATCGTGGGCGGGGACTCAGGCTCAGCATGCTGAAGGCATCCGCATACCTCACCCCGTTGGT